TACAAAGAAGCGGCGAAACGAATTCCAAACCTTTCACTCTTAACCACGCAGGTAATGCATGATATCGACTCTTCATTAATTAACCACTTGAACGGGCTTCCAACGCCACGAAAAGTTCACTTTGTATATGAACAAATATAGTGCAAAACCTGTAACAAAAAGGTGTCATTAAGAAAAGTAAAAAGTACTCACGGCAAAAACGTTAATAGTAAATCAGCTCTATATTTTCTAAAACAGAATAGCAAAAAATATGATCTTTTTCTTGCCTACTCAAGAAGAACGTTTTGATGTTCGTTTGCTTTGGCTTTACTTGGGAATGACAGCTTTATGAGTGTCTGCGAACTTAAACCTGTAATTTAGGCGCTGGATCGACGTTCCCCTGCAAGTGGATATACTCACGCAAATAAAATCGCACGCAATCGTACATACGCACATATGCATTTACGTGCGCACACGCACACACACGCGCGCGCGCGCATACTTGTTTATGTGTGTGTCAAATACTAATATACATACAGGGTAGGTATATATTTTCAATCATTCTTAGCCAAAATACTCTGCAGTGAAGATTATTTATAATCTTTATTAGAATTTATTTCTTTAAAAAATACACACACACATATACACACACACATACACCACACACACACACACACACACACACACACACACACACACACACACACACATACACACACACACACACACACAACACACACCACACACACACACACACACACACACATATATATATATATATATATATATATATATATATATATATATATATATGTGTGTGTGTGTGTGTGTATATATATATATATATATATATATATATATTATGAGTTTTATATACCCTATTTCACTATAACCTATACCTTCATCATTAATGATGATAAAAGTATTATTTATTAGTAGTAGTATCAACAGTAGATTACCTTCACTATCATTATCATTGTTGTTATTAGTACCATCGTTATTGCCGTTACTAGTACAAGTTAATTCAGTTATTAAATTTACGACTTTTCCTTGTCAATTTATTATTGTCGTCGACATTACTATTATTAATACAAGCTCTAAGTATAATATCAATATCAACCTGTATTTCATTACAATTGTTATTAATATTACGAACACCAGCATCTCCATAATGCTACTATAATTTTTACAATAAATGTTATAAGTATTTACGTCATTCTGTTATTCTCGAAAATCAGATCAGATTTTAGGTTCATTACACGTCGGAAAAGTCTAGGGATTTTTTTCTGCAACTATCAGGGAATTTACTCTCCCACTCTGTTTCTCTCTCAATTCTTTATCTATCCGTCAGTCTGTTTTGTCAAGTAGGTAGCTAGCTATCTACTTGTCTATCTATCTATCTATTATCGATCTATCTGTCTTTATCACTATATTTCCAACGATCTATCAACCTCTCACTATATGTCTCTCAGGCTATCTGCATATGAGGTTAGCTGCCTACCTACCTATTTGTCTATAGATCTATCTGTCTATCTCTGTCCATCTGTCTATCGATTTGTATATATATATATATATATATAGTTGTCTTTTCTCTTCTCTCTCTCTCTCTCCTCTCTCTCTCTCTCTCTCTCTCTCTCTCTCTCTCTCTCTCTCTCTCTCTCTCTCTCTCTCTCTCTCTCTCTTTCCCATCTTTATTGGCATCAGATATCCTCTACAGAACTAGATTATAAATATGTGTCATGAACTCAATAACCACACCTTTTTCCTCTCTCATTTCGATATTTTGGTATGTTATCTGAAACTACCAATTGCTTCATAATTTAGATATGTTCAGTGGACGAGGCTTCAATTTTATCACGTCGCTGTTCCTCATATCACCTTGTAACTAAAACGATAAATCTTAACGCCTAAATTATTTACCTGACGGGCAGCTATTCCGCTCAAACCAGATTTTTTTTCACATTTGGAAGTTCATTAATCTCCTCTTCTAAATTCCGTTGTGTTCTTTTCTGCGGTTAGGTTAACGGTCATTTTTGGCATGTTTATGTCCAGTTCAAAATATAGCTTTAAATGTTTGTTTTCATATCATGTGGTATCAAGAATAAAAGAAAATTCCAGAATATTGTTTTATAATACACATACACAACCTAGACATATACTCCAAAATATGTGCAGTATTTTGTACATCATATACGTCTGCACAGTCGCAAAAAAATTGTCCTTTATATACTGGGTCCCTTTGAGCCACATAGAGGGCGCTGGCACAAACAAAGAACACTTCATACATTATTAATACTGATCCTATCTACAAATATACACTTATAATCAGTCACACAACCAAATACGACGCAACTGTCCTTGAAGGAAAAATATGAAAAAATGAAAGTTTTACACATTTTCCTTCGGTATTTTTCTTCTGAATTCTCACGAGCGAATCACTGCTCTGAAACAACCATTTTCACGAGGTATATTTTGTACGTATTTATGGTTCGAGAGAGAGAGAGAGAGAGAGAGAGAGAGAGAGAGAGAGAGAGAGAGAGAGAGAGAAGAGAGAGGAGAGAGAGAGGAGAGTGTGTGTGTGTGTGTGTGTGTATGTGTGTGTGTGGTGTGTGTGTGTGTGTGTGTGTGTGTGTGTGTGTTGTGTGTGTGTGTGTGTGTGTGTGTGTGTGTGTGTTGTGTGTGTGTGTGTGTGTGTGTGTGTGTATGTGTTGTGGTGTGGTGTGTGTGTGTGTGTGTAGTGTGTGTGTGTGTGTGTGTGTGTGTGTGTGTGTGTGTGTGTTTACATATACGTGTATGCAAGTGAATTTGCGAGCATATTGTTTCAGCTTATGTTTGCAACGTACTAATGTGGATAATTCTGACCATTACTAGTTCACCCCCTACCCTACCCCACCCCCTAATCCCTACTTTACCCTACGCTATCCTACTCTAATCCTAAACCAAGCTGCACAGTAATCACACTAACCTATTCTATCCTAAATTGTCCTGTCACAGCCGTAACTAAATATTAACCCCAGTCAGATATTTTATACCAATTATTACATAACGTTAGCAAATTTAACGTGTGTGTGTGTGTGTGTGTATGTGTGTGTGTGTGTGTGTTTAAGAGTAAATATTGTCATTTTACAGCAATTTCACCTGCATGGGAAAGTGTGGGCCCGGGAGGGGCAAATCTTCCAAACAGGATTAGTCTCCAGACCGGCTCCCTATTCACCAAAGTCCAGTTTAATTTGAAATCAAGAAATTAATCTTCAGGACCTTATTCATGGAGCCACTGGAACACACCCAACACCGCAAAACACAGCGGGGTGGCCCAATTTGCGGGACATCTGCAATTAGGTTAAATTTACGATCGCCAAATCTCGTATTTAATTTTCGGAGTCGCAGAATTATTGCATGCTATCGGATCCTTCAATTTGGAGACATTTTCAAGAAAATCATGGGCAGACAGGCTGGATAAGCATGGTTGTAGCAAATGAATGGACTAGAAAACATGAAGAAGATTTGTGTGTGTGTGTGTGTGTGTGTGTGTGTGTGTGTGTGTGGTGTGTGTGTGTGTGTGTGTGTGTGTGTGTGTGTGTGTGAGAGAGAGAGAGAGAGAGAGAGAGAGAGAGAGAGAGAGAGAGAGAGAGAGAGTGTGTGTGAGAGAGAGAGAGAGTGTGTGTGTGTGTGAGAGAGAGAGAGAGAGAAAGAGAGTGTGTGCGTGTGTAAGAAAGGGCATACGCTAGCCTATAGAATTCGATGAGATTGGCAGCACTGAAGCAACAAACGAGCTAGTTATTCAAGTTCGAAGTTAGTATGCTGCTGAACAATAGCAATACTAGTGACCAGTGTTTACAAAATCAGGCAAAAACAGACAGGCTTACAATCAGGATCATAAAACCGTTAAAGAGCTGGAGAAGCATGGTGGAAGAGCTAGTTACAAATTTCAGAAGCCAGGTTACTGAGCTCGTACGGAGAGATAGAAATAAATGAGTCGAAAAGGTCTTTGACATTTCATAAGCTAGGTTACAGATCTAAAGAAGATGGAAATACAAAAATAAGAGAGCTGGTTAACAATACCAGATGCTAGGTTACAGAGCTAGAGAAGAGCGATAGAAATAAATGAATATGAATGCCTGTTAGAAATTTCAGAATAATGAAGTGCACAAAAACCCAGTAAAATGCCAGAAAATTATGAAAGTGAATGAACGGACGAGCCTACCCTCAAGATCAGTCACTAAGCTACATAATGAAGCTGGAAAGGATAATGGCAGTTGCGAAAGACTCCTCAAGATTCAACCGCGGGCACTTGCTAATCAATCCCCCATAACCCAGGCTGCAACGCTGCGTCATACGAGGGTTACTGGGAGTGTGAGGGACTCATGCGCGGTCGGCAAAGGAGCCATCCACATTAAATGGGCCCAAGGTGAGAGGCGATAAAAAGAAAAGATGGATAGATAGAGAAAAAAACAAAGGCCTAAATATTTTAACGGGTTAGGAACAAGGTTTGGAAGAAGCTGCCTGAAGTGGACCGAACGGCGACATTGCTTTTCCCTCCCAGGACCATGCTGTTGTATATGGTCAATTGAACGCATGGAAATTGTTTCGTTTAATTACAAACATAGAAGTGTGTGTGTCTAATGAATATATTTATATAAGAGAGAGGGGGGAGACAGACATAGAGAGAGAGGGGGAACAGACAGAGAGAGAGGGGGGGGCGAAATAGACAAACAGAAAGAGAGAGTATTTGAATCTGAGTATGGGTGTGTATATGTGCGCATGTGATACCTCGCTACTTTCCGAAACAGCCAACTATCACTCTGGACGGTTAAGTACTAAACAGCCCCCTTGGCTCGTCGACCGTGGCCGACCTCGCTTCAGTCTCGGCTTCGACCTCCTCGTCCTGCTATCAGTCCACAGAGCAGCATCGAACTCAGAACTCCGTCTTTGATCACCTCTTTGCTTTACGGGTTGCCTTCGATAAGTGCATTCTTCCACATTCATTTCATAGCATATACCGTACAGTCTTCTGGTGAGGCTGTGTGTGTGTGTGTGTGTGTGTGTGTGTGTGTGTGTGTGTGTGTGTGTGTGTGTGTGTGTGTGTGTGTGTGTGTGTGGTGTGTGTGCGCGCGCTCTCACAGCCAGAACTCTGCCTTGACAGAATTCATCCCCCCCCCCCCCCCCGATTCCCCGACCGCCCTCACGCCGAGGACTCCCCCTGGTCCGCCGCCGCTGGGAAGACTTCCAGGGTCTGGTCGCGCGCGGACTCGCCGTTGGTCTGGGTGCAGGCGGAGACGCGGATGGAGGTCTGGGTGGCCTGGGACCCGCACGGAGGCTCGGGGGCTTGGCGGGCGGGCGTCGCGCGGGAGTCCTTCGCGAGGGGCGACACATCGAGGTCCTGCACCGAGTAGGTCTCCTCTTCGGTCTCCTCGATGCTGTCCGTGAGGAACATCTGGTGCGAGGACCTTCGCTCTCGGACCGGCGTCCCGAGGATGACCTCGCCGCCTCGCCCCGCCATCATGACCTTCGACCCAGGGGAGGCCAGGAGGGAGCTGATGTCACTCACCCTGTAGGGCGCGTATTTGGAGGTGGGCGAGGAGGCGGCGGGCGCGGGGCAGAGGCTCGTCAGGTTCCCTGTGGAGCACGAGAACTTCTTGCCGTGATGGAGGCTCGACCTCGTGTGCTCCGGACTCGTAAGGGTCACGAGGTCAGTAAGAGACGTGGCGGAGGTGACCTTGCCGTGATATGACCCGGACTCGAATCCCGATGACCTGCT